TTCTGAAATGACCACAACACAAAAAGCCTAACTCAACCAAAACTAGAGAACTGCCGTACTCTAAACACAGCCCGACATATAATGCTCTCATACAAGACATGTTAATGTTCCAGAATGCACTTCAGAAGAACAGCTGTACACAGTGACCTCTTTAGCACACAGGGTTACAACTATCTTTTAAGAATTATAGACAGTCAGATAAATAAGACTTATGTGAATTATGTACTGGCAGAATCAAGACTTTTCATTCCCTGGACCTATATAATGTAACAGAATTTATTTCAAAATGTGATTTAATATGCATCTATAAATAAGTTAAGAAAAATAAGACCGCGGATGATAAGGCCAAAAAGTGACTAGAGGTTATCCATCCCAAGGTTCTTTACTGGGCCAAACTCTTTCCATCATCGTATAACTTTATCTTATCTCTTTTCTATAAAGCATTTGATTGTAAATGTGTTTCAGTAGTAAACTTTCATGCAGATAAATGCAAATGTTACTTTCATTAATTATATTTTTTTTAAAAAGTGACCTAAGAACCATTAATATGGTGAACATAAAGCCACATTCTTACCATAACATTGAAGTCTATTTCACATCATGAAAGATGTGACTTCTCCAAGGAGCATAGAAACGTATCTGAGAAAGCTGATTTACTGCTCTAGTTTGTTGGAGTTTGATAAGACGGGGCTAGCAAGTCCAGAGTTGACAGAAAATTCTTTAGAATTTCTGTTAGATGGTGAAAATGAATGCAGAAATGTCTTGTGTGTAGTTGAAGGTTCCCGGTGTAGAGACTGGAAGCACGGGCTGGAGGCGGGGGACTAAATAAAGATAACTCGAAACATAGAGTGCATCTAAAAATCAGGGGCGCTAGAACAAAAGTAGAATTAAGTGCCGCAAAAAAGAAAACACTGCTATTTCCAAAAAAAAAAAAAAATAGTTTCTGATTCTTAACATACAGTTTTGCTAAGAGGTCTTCAAGTCTCCATAAAGAAAATGTTCCTTGAGCGGGGCGGTGGTGGCGCATGCCTTTAATCCCAGCACTCGGGAGGCAGAGGCAGGGGGATCTCTGTAAGTTTGAGACCAGCCTGGTCTACAGAGCTAGTTCCAGGACAGGCTCCAAAACCACAGAGAAACACTGTCTCAAAAAAACCAAAAAAAAAAAAAAAAGAAAATGTTCCTTTACTTTCTACAGTCTTAACGATAACTAGGGAGAGTCAAACACCACCATAGTCTCAGATTTTGAGTACTTCACATGTAAGAGAAACTACATGCTAAGAAAGAAATGGCAGAAAATCCTGTCATTTGTGTGTTCATGGCATCAACTGAAGACTGTTGACATGGTCTTAGTAAGCTGTGTATGATTCGTAGTTCAAAGGAACCACTCCTGGCTTAGGGAAGGTGATCTCAGAGCCTAGCATGACACACCATAAGTCCGACTGAAAAAGTGTTATTTTAATTTTAATGTTTCCATTGTGTTTTCAGATGCTTTCCCACTTAGGCACGTTTATATTCTTTACATGCCCTGAAAGGGTTATGTGGTGTTGATTTAAATGGGAAAATGTTGTTTTCTTCTAGTTCTCCAAAAAGATTTTGTTCAGACTCAGTTGTCGGACAAAAGAGTTGTTCCTCATTCGTATTTCAGTCTTCTTTAGCCCATTGTGCGTGTTTCCCTTGGTATAACTTAGCCACAAATATCTACATAACTATTCAATTGTCTGATTCCTCAAAAGTAGAAAAAGAAGGAACATTTTATAAAATGCTTTTAATGTAAAATGTTTCTTATAGACAAAAACCACCACAGTTTATAAACTTTCCTATCTATAACCACTCTCCACTTATATCAATCTCTTTGGCCATTACAAAAGTATTTAGCATGTTACCTAATGCCTGGCTAGGAGAGCAGTTGCACATGGACCAACAGACAAACAAGCTGAAGAATCAGTAGCGAGGAGTGGGGAGATGACTCAGTGCTTAGGAGTACTGCATAGGATCTGAGTTCACTTTCCAGCATCCTATTAGGCAGCTCAGACAGCCTGTAACTCCTGCTCTGGGGGGCCTGATGCCCTCTGCTGGACTCTACAAGTACCAGCATTCACTTGTGTACATAGCCTCCCCACCACACCACATAGCACACACACACACACACACACACACACACACACACACACACACAAATAGTAACTACATTTTGATGGTTACTGCAAGAAGATAATTGCTATGTGCTATAAGCGGGTGAACTGAATCTCAAAAATGTTTTATTGGAAGATGAGCATGTATAGAGTACTTAGTTTCACTACTGTTTGTGCAAAGTATGTTGAATACTATAGCCTATTCCATGAAGCTCCTCATTTGGATTCTAGTCAGAGAATAAGAAAAGTGTATATGGGCACAAAGCTAATGTCCTAGTTCAGGTTACTATTGCTGTGATGGCCAAAGAAAGCTGGGGAGGAAAGGGTTTAGTTGACTTCTGCTTCTACATCACGATTCATCATCAAGGAAAGTTAGAGCAGGAACTCAAACAGGGAGCTGCTGCAGAGGCCACGGAGGGGAGCTGCTTATTGGCTTGATCCTCCTGTCCTGATCAGCCTGCTTTCTTAAAGAACCCAGGATCACCAACGCAGGGATGGCATCACCAAAAAATGGGCTGGGCCCTCTGCATCAATCACTAATTAAGAAATGCCCTACAGGCTTGCCTACAGCACAGTCTTAATGAAGGCATTTTCTCAGTTGAGGGTCCCTCCTCTCTGATGACCTCCGCTTGCTCCAAGTTGACATAAAGCTATCCAGTACAGCTATAAGAGGCTATTAAAGAATTTAAAGGAAGATCCATCCATCCTAACCCATGAAAGCTCATGGCTTTCATTCACTAATTCATTTCTTCCTCATTGAATCCATTACCTACAGGTAGAGAAGTCACTTTGCTTCAGAGAAAAATGCAGTTTGATGGGAGGGGGCATTGAAAGGCATTTGTGCAATGGAAATGCAGTAAGTCTTGCACAGGTGACTATACAAGGTTAGCTACAAGGCAGAGAGCATGCCTGGACCAACACTTCCCTGCCGTTTTGCTTGACTTCATTGCATGAGATCTCATATTCACTAGGGCTCTGTGAAGCACCTACAACAATTACACGACAGAGGGCTACTCTACAAAGAGATGTGGTAACTGCTTTTTTTATTCTCTTCCTTTTTCCTCTTTGTATACAAGTCGTATACTATTGGAACTCTTAAAATTAAGAATAATGGTAATGTTTAAAGCTTTGACTGTGGGAAGCATTATTTAAAGACCTTTGTGGTTTTAAGAGGGAAAAGTAGAGCTTTCAAGTAGGGTAACACTAGGAAGACGGCCTTCCCTCCACTTTAGCCAAACACTGTCTTCAGCAGGACATTCTCTTATAATGCCTTATAAAATGTTTCTTTCCCAACACCGCATAAGAAAACTGCCAGCTTCTGAACTGACTCTTCCTTAGCCTACTGTATAAAATCCACGTATAATAGTAGCAAGAGATTAAGTATTAGGGTTTTGGAAGGACATCTTTATAGGAACTATTTGCCTTGGTATCAGTGACCCACCGGCAAAGGCTTTATTTAGTACATGAGGGTTCATTTTTATATGTCAAAGAAACCCAGGTCTTGCTGCTCCACAGAGCCATTCCTTCTAACATGTTCAGAGCTTCAGTTCTCAAGCTCAGCTCACAGTGAAGACTTCCGTCTGCATTCTCAAGTTTTTAAAACTCCCACATGACTTTGGCTCTGACTGGTCAGACTTGGTCATATGGCCACCCTAGCTACAGAGGAGGTTGGGAAAAGGACCAGTTGACCACACAGACATGTTACCTTCCTGTTTGCAAAGGTATTATCATGCTAAGGAAGAAGAAAATGGATACTGTGTGGGTGTCCATATCATGTACTACTTTCCCATACGTCATGAGTCCAGAAAAGAAGTCTTTGGAGTTCTGAGGATCATGTGCTGCAGATGAGAGAACACCTTTGAGCCAGGGAGACACCCAGTTTAGTGGGAAGGAAGTGCTGAAGAAGAGTAGATATTTACACCTCTATCCTGGAAAGTCTTGGCTACAGCAATACTTTTACCAAGGAGCGAGATTCATTTTCCATGCACCACCTCTCTCTGACAGGAGCAGCATGATGGAAGCAATCAATGGGGTACACACTTTTGAACAACTACCTCCTGACTTTTGAGAGATTTGTAATTCTCTTGTTTTATCAGCAAAAACAAAATGTATGAGGTTAAAAAACCCACAGAAAATATTAAAAATATATTTTCTGCTCCTTCAAACGTATCCCCCACAAGATCAAAACCACAGTGGAATATTTAGAATAATTGCAGCATATTTATAATTTAGTCACATTGTGGGTCCTTATGTCAACCTGTGACTTCAGATGACATGAACTCGCTATCTTCCAATCTTGAAGGTTAGACATCTGCCATCAGCCTCATTAAACATAACTCTAGATATCGACATGTCTGTTTCCTCCCCAGGTTCTGTATCTTTGTCTTTTCCAGCAAAGACAGACTCTCCTTCATCAGACACCCCTTCTGTGTTCTCACTACCCTATTACCTTCTCTCTAATTCTCATCCCCTCGACCGCCTGTGATATGGAGCTAAGAGGTCACATTCCAGAAAGGTCTCCCTGTGTCAATTCCTAAGCAGATCGCACCTTCAAAGACTCTCTTACCAAGGATTAGAGGTCATGAATGTCTTGGAAAGCATTATTCACCCCATGCCTTGCAAATAAAAATATAAGAAAGTAATTCCATACCTAATCTCAACAGAAAGATTGTACCAAAGTCACCCTGTTATTGTTTTGATGTACTTATAGTCTAATTTATCATCAAATCAAGAATCTCACTACAAGAGAGTCGGGAGCTAATGATCAGTACTGTTGCTAGGTCATAGTCTAAAAATCTCATCAGAAACCCTTTCATATACCTGTGGAATCTCTGTCTTTCCTAATATCTCTTTTCAATTTTATTTCAGAAAAACAAGACCATAATGCAAAAATTGAAGCTATAAAGTCTCTGGTAAAAGATCTCCCTCCACCAAATCATGACACCATGAAAATCCTCTTTGGACATCTGACTAAGTAAGTTACCAAGTTTTTGAGTACGTTGTATTATAGTTGGTACTGACACAGAGAACATTTGACCTTGTATCTCTAAGACAAAGGTTCCCCAATGCGTCCATCAGAGATCTCGACTCTACCTGACCTCAGTCTGACTGAGGAACCTGAAAACATACTCAAGATAGGAAGAGAAACCTGAAAAGGGAACTTCTGAAGGCTTCTATTTTTCCTGCATTTTTTTAAGCATGAAACTGTTTGCTGACCGACTATTAGAAACATTGCCAGGGCCCATGATGGTTCACGTTGACTTTTGCTATTGAAAATCATGGGCAAAACATGAAACGATTCAGACATTGGAATACAGCTCCACCATGTACCAAATCCAATGACCAAACTTTCATGACTTACGCTCTCTGCATTCCACTTAATCAAGGCACTAGTCAGGTAGTCAAGCTAGAGAGGAGTGGTCCAGGAAAAGGGAGGCAAATAGAAAGATCCAGAGGCCCAAATGTTCTTGATACCCATGAAAAGCAGAAAGCAGACAGGAAAGGCCAGCACCAGGTGAGTAAGGAACGTAGACTTGAAAGCAGAAGTCTCATATTTCCATGTTAAATAAGAGGAGACACTGAAGAGGCTCAGCTGAGGGAGTACAAGGTTTCCCTGACTGCCAAGCAGAGAATAGAGAACAATTATGAAAGCAGGAATGCCTCTAGCTACGATCTCTAGTATCTTCATTCGAAGATAGAGGCAACGTGAAGAAGATCTTAGAGCTGTGGTTCTCAACCCATGGATCGCGAACCTTTAGAGGTCAAAAAACTTTTCATGGGGGTGGCCTAAGGCCATCAGAAAACATAGATATTTACGTTATGATTCATAACAGTAGCAAAATTACAGTTATGATGTAGCAGCGAAAATAATTTTAGGATTGGGGGCTGTCGCCACAACATGAGGCACTGTATCAAAGGGTTATAGCATTAGGAAGACTGAGAACCACTGCGTTAGAGAGAAATGAGTCAAAAAATTTTACAAGTGGGTCAAGTTGGGCATGCTGTTGTTTGTGGCATAGTGGTAGAAAGGAAAGAGAGACCACGGGTGCCCCTTTGGGTTTCTGCTCAGGCAAGCTGAGAAATGATAGTGCCATATGGACCGATGGGCAAACCTGGTGGAGGAATGGGAAGAGCAGGCTTGAAAGCTCTGTTTGGGCCATGCTACATCTGAAATAACAGCTCTTGCCTTCTGTTGATATTCAGTAAGGCACAGTGCGATACACTTGGTGACGTCTGAGCTCTCTACATGCGTAGCATCAGCGCACTGCTCACCGAGCAGTGAACCAAAACTGCAGTTGTGTTTTGTGAGATTAAGGTTGCTTAATCACCTGAATAATGCCTGAAAACTATTCAACTCGTTCATTCAATCATTTTTAATTGTGAACGCAATACATGCAACTGCATGCAAAATCTATAAGCAGCAGTGATGAATACACATTAAAAAGTGACATTCGTCCCCATCCCCCACCCCACCCCAGTCACTCTTAGCTTGCTGAGCAGAAGTAGCTAACATTCTTTCATGGATCCTGTTAGACCTCTTTCTAAGCACAAGCGAACGTATGTGCGTATGTTGCTTCTGGTGCTTTCGTAGAGCCCTGCACACATTATTCTTCAACTATTTACAACCCATGTGCTGTCTTCTACTTCGTTAAGCAGACCTGTCTTATCACTCTAAGGATAACGCACCAAGGTTTTACTATGTCATAGCCTGCTAAAGTAGTACTTGCCTTAGAGAACATATAAGAACCTAATGCACCGTCTTAGTTGTTCTCTCAACGTTCTGAGCATCTTTCATAGATAGGATGCAGGATACAATAGGAAAAGATCTGGGCTCTTAAATGAATAGAAAAAGGAAACTTAGCGCCAAATCATTGGTCTATACATTGTCTCAGGTATGGTCTCAGACATCTACAGCTAGATTAAATAATATACAATATCTTATAGTTATGAGAGTTAAATAAGAAGATGTGTAAAAGGTCAGACACAAGACTAAGAATTCCTGAGATGTTATTATTTTCCTCTCAAAATTTTTATCTAGCATGGAAGGAGTATTCAAGTTTCAGTTAAAAGCTAGAGTTCCTAGTAATTCTAGATGGACAAAGTCACAAGACAAATCAAAATTACACTATTTAGTACTAAGATAAATTCAGGCTTAGTGTTCTTGACAAATAGCCATTACTTTGTCTCAGATAATTTTGACTGAAAGGAAAAATAAGAATAAGACGAATAGTAAAATTAAAAAAAAAATAAACAAAGAATTGGTTGTAAAACTTCCCTCTGAAACACACAGAATCTGTGTGCTGAGGCGTGCAGAGATGCAGTTCCTATATAAGCATGCTTCTGACATCTAAATGGATTTTCTAACTTAGTTAGACCTTTTGTTTAGCTCAGTAAAGCTGGAAATAGATATTTTAAACTAAGATTTTGAGATCAGACTATTCTGTTACCTCAAAGCATTCAAATCTTGAGATTTATCTTTATGGGGGAGGAAAATGTGTTATTTATCATCCACCAACCTTTCTTGGGTAGTGTGGCCATATTCCATCCAGTACCAAGTTATAAACTGACTTTAATTATGCATAAATGTGTGTACACAATTATATCTTGCTAAGCATTTTTCTAAGTTTTTGATAAACAGCCAGTTGTGGTATGTCATCAAAGTCTGAGAAGACTAAATAGAAAGACTGTTTAACCTAAGTTTAAATATGTTCGTGTTTGAAAGAATCATTAGGATGTTTTCTTTATTCTTGATGCATTTGGTAGTCCTTCAGCGAATATACCATCCATACTTGTGTGTAGCGTTTAATACAAATTATGTGTGTGTCTACTAAAGTTTGTTTAGTGAAGGGGAGGGAGCATTATAATGTGCCAAAATTCCACTTGACCTCTATACTCTACAGTCAACGGAGCAGAACTCTGTTTTCAGAGCTGTGAATTAAACACTGCCCTCAAAGCAGAAAAGCTACCAACTGGGAAAACTTGCTACAGCACAGCTGGACTAGAAAGTGAAGGGAAATCTTCCCATAAAAGCCAGAACTTTTACAGGGTTGTGATTATACTAAACATAATGTTATTTAATGACTGCATAGGCTCAGTAGTATCAGGGTCCAAAGTCCTCATTGGTAGTTGAACTCAAGGTCAGATTCTATGCTCTGACTACCCTATTCTGATTGAACTCAAGGTCAAATCCTATTCTCTCTCTGCTCTTGCAAAAGAAAGGAGAGAATGTCTTCCTGAATCGTACCAGAAACAGTTTTCACGATTATTCAGCATTGCAATTTCAGCGTTCTTTTCCCCATAGAGAACTGCATATTTCTAGGATACAGAAATGAGAGAGATAAAAATGATGCGGACGCTTTATCTAAAGACCTTAAGTTTAAGGGCCAGTTCCTACTGTCAGAGCCAGAAACCGAAAATTCAGAATGAACAGTGATCTGGAAACACTATCAGTCAGAAAATGCATGAGTGGCCACTTTCATGAGTTGACATTATAGTGCTGGGACCAGGAAGGTCCTATGATACCTTCTGAATGACCATGTGAGAACCAAGTGCTCTCTCTGTAAAATATGTCATAGGTGACTAAAACTGAAGCTAACAGGGGCAAACATTGTAGGAAAATGGCCTGTTTCTTAGTGAGTAGCAGTTGGGGTGTGAGCCAATTAAAGGAAGGGAGAAACAGAGAGTCAGGAACGTATATGCAGCGCACAGTTGCACCATGATCCTCCTGTAGGAGAGTCAGCTCGCGACGGCATGTCTGATGGCAGAGAGAGCAGGAAAGAGACTCTCAGAGACCTGTGGTAGCGTAGTTAGACTTGAGTACCGGGAAGAATTCATCCAAATCTTAAGGGAACAAAGAAAATGAGCTTCAGAGTCGGGCAAAATTCAAATATTTAGCCAGATTTATTTTGTGGCTTGCATTTAGGAAATCAAAAGTATTCTCCAATTTTTTTTTTTTGGTCGGAGGGAGGTGGGACAGAAGAACATTTAATTCTCACTTAGGTATACATTATTCAGGAAAAGTAAAAACCTTTCAGAAATGGGTATTTTTAACAATAAATTTCAGTACTGGAGGATCCTACCTAAGACCCTGCGTTCAATCTCCAGCCGAATAAATAAATAAATAAATAAATAAATAAATAAATAATAATAGAATTTAAGCATTTCTGAAAAAAATATCCTTACAAGAATATAATTGCCGCTAACTTTTAGATGCAAATAAGTTTTCTTGGGGGAGATTTGCACATTATGAACTAGATTAAAAGGAGAGTTTTAAAATCTTCCCTTTTGCATTGACTCTAAGAAAATTGCCCAGCTGTTCATAGAATTCCAAGGTGAAAAAAACAAACGTTTTCAGCGAACAGGCAGATCTCAGGGAAGCATGCCAGTTGAATGCCGTGTTAAAAGAAGCAACTGTGGAGCTGTGGCTACTTTGTGAGGGAGAACTGATATTTAAAGCTGTTGTGGTCTTTATGGATATTAAATATGATATTCTGCAAAAGCACGTCTGAAGTAAGTTAGATGATGATGACCTAGAAATAGGAGGGTTGTGTGTAGAAACCAGAGCGAGGAAACAGTGCATCCACCGGTTCTTTACAACGGCACTGTGGGCATTTCTGATCCCCAGTGGAGGTTAGATACCGATAAAACACATACTTCAAAACCAGGGGCCTCCTTCTCTCTTTCGTCTGGTCCTCCGGAGCATCGTGGGTGTGACTCACTTCTGCCCATCCAGGCTTGGGACTGCTCTGGTCTCCTGTGCTTTGGAACAGGATGTGTTTTTCTGTGCTGTCTCCTGGCACTCCACTTTCTTTCTGTACACTTTGGTCTTCCACCCAACCACAACACCTGATAGCCAAAGATTTGCAGGCTATGGGTATTTTTTCTGGAAAAAGAGGAACATGTACAAATTGTTATTCTCTCCCCCCGTCTCTCTCCCTCTCCCTTCCTCCCTCCTCCCCCTTCTTCCATCCATCC